CGGGACCGGGAGAACCGGGCTTGGCCTAGGGCCTCGTGGGCGGCGCGCGAGGACCCCGCGCAGCTGCCCGCCGGCTCCTGCGGCCGCGTCCTTTCCGGGTGCCGAGGCGTCCGCGAGCGTACGGGTCGCGGCGGCCGCTGCGCGGGGAGTCCCTCGCGGCTCGGCCCGTGGCGGGCGATGCCACCGAACACTCTGGCGTTCGCGCTTGTTAAGTTCTTTGAGCGTCTCTGAGAGACCGGAGGCCGTGTGCCATCTTGCCAACGTTTCCTTCGTTTGCCGCCGCGCCGCCGCTCCCTCAGCACTTCAGTGGCGCGGGAGGCCTCTACAGGGGCCTGGGGCTCGGCTGCCCTCGAGGCTCCCTGCCCTTCGGCCACTGCGGCCGACTCAGGGCGCTTCTCGGTCCGGCCCGCCGAGGAGGCGCGCTTTCCAGACAGGCAGCGCCTTGGCCACCTGGCAGGGCTGGGTCGCCTAGCAACGGCGGGGTCCTTCCTGGCTCGGCGGCGCTCCGGGCCTGAGGGGAGAAAGCCGCTGCGGAGGGCGCTGGGGGCCGGCGGCGGCGCAAGAGGCGGCAACGGGACGGCGGCGCGAGGTTGGCGCGCCCCGGGATCCGGCCTCTGCACTTGAGGGGAGATGAGCTCGGCTGACAAGGCCCGGGTGGGGCTCGCGGCCGACGGGCCTGCGCCGCCCGAGGAGGAGGAGGGCGAGGGGGGCGGCGAGGCGGGCGGGAAGGAGCCGGCTGCAGACGCGGCCCCCGGGCCCAGTGCCGCGTTCCGCTTCCTGGTGACTCGGCGGGAGCCGGCCGTGAAGCTGCAGTATGCGGTGAGCGGCTTAGAGCCGCTGGCCTGGTCCGAGGACCACCGCGTGTCCGTGTCCACGGCCCGCAGCATCGCCGTGCTGGAGCTCATCTGCGACGTGCACAACCCGGGCCAGGACCTGGTTATCCACCGCACCTCGGTGCCCGCTCCTCTCAACAGCTGCCTCCTCAAAGTAAGTCACCCCCTGGGCCCCAGCCCCGGGGTCTCCTCCTGCCGCGCTCCCGCGGCCGCGTTACGGGTCCCTGGGGAATCTCGGCCTGCGCCTATTCCGGGGATTCCCCTGGTCGCATCCAGAGTGGCCGGGGTCGCCGTGTTTTGAAAAACAAAAAACCTCGCGGCCGTTTGCTCCCGGCTTTCCAGATCACCCACCCCCTTCCGACACACACTCGTATCCCGGGAGCTCTCCTCCGAGCCAGGTCCTGCCTGCGGCCCTGCGTCTGCCCCACTGCTGGCGCTGATTACTCTCTGGTGCTTTCTGAGACTCCACCCCCTTTGACCCAACCCCAGACCTTGCCTCCACAGTTGCTCCTATTGTCTGGAATCGACTCCCCCGAGGCCCTCCGCTCGCTTTGTTTACGGTGACGTGCCCTCCTCTGGTGCCTCTTCAGCTCTGAAGAAAATTTGGTCCTTTTCAGGGTCTCGGCTGTCTCAGCGACTTTATTATATGGATGGTCCTTCTCACCTTGAGCCGCTGAGCACTTTCTTTTTTTTTTTTTTTTTTTTTTTTTTAGCTGAACATCTTTGGGATGTAGCATGAAAAGCCTCTGGAAGTAAATGCAGTCCTTAAACTTCAAGGTCTCTGTAGATTTAGTGCTTTCAGCTTCATAGCAACTAAGTTTGCCTTCAGAACTTTCGGGTTCCTAAGTTTTACTGTTGGGAGATCACTGTTTTCCAATTTGTTTTTTTTTTTTTTTTTTTTTTTTATTCCCCGAATAGGAAATCTTATCGCTCATTAGTGGTTTCAAGTACAAAAACTTGCCCTGTTTCCTTTATAGATCTTTATGCCTAGATGGGATCTATAAAACGTGTATTCCCTCATTCAACAGATGTTTGAATAGCACCATGTATCTATCGGCCTAGTGCTGTCTAGGTTCTGGAAATAAAGCTGTGTACAAAACAAGGTCCCTGCCTTCATGGAGCTTACGTTCTTTGGCAAGTTGTGAACAGGCACTACTATAATAACAGAGAGTGATACGCACTGTAAAGATCTGTGTCTATGCCCAGAGAATGTATTTATGTGACTTTCGCATACAGGGTTTGGAAGCCTTCTCTGCACCACCAATTAAAAACACTTTTAATGTTTTATTTATTTTTGAGACAGAGAGACAGAGCATGAATGGGGGAGGGTCAGAGAGAGAGGGAGACACAGAATCCGAAGCAGGCTCCAGGCTCCGAGCCGTCAGCACAGAGCCCGACGCGGGGCTCAAACCCACAAACCGCGAGATCATGACCTGAGCCTCAGTCAGATGCTTAACCGACTGAGCCACCTAGGCGCCCCTGCACCACCAATTTTAAATATGAATCAGTCACTGTGGGTAGGGTGCAGGGAGCCCACACCACTTTTTTTTTTCTTTTTTAGCATACTTGAAAGTTTTAAGCAAACAACATGTCATCGAGTTAGATCATTGGTGAACTGGGATGACTAAACCCTGTAAGAGCTTGGAGAAGATACGAACAAATTGGTTCGAGTGTAAACAAATCGGGTAGACCCTGGTACTCCTGTGAAATTGAGAAACAGGGAGGGAGGCAGAAGAAAGGGGCTTTAAAAGGCACATCCCTACTGTTTCTAAGGATGTTCATGTGCACATGAACTAGAGAAAACCTTAAGTGTGTGTGTCCAGCGTGACACAGATTGAATACTTTAGCAGAGAGAATTTAAAGAGTGGAAGAAATAGGGAGGCACGTTCATCAGGGAATGTTATCTGCTGGTGAGTCTGAAGCAGTCCTGAAAGAACGTAGGATTTGGTTCAAAAGAGGAACATGAGAGAGGGGCCTCCAAGCAACAGAATGAGCTGTCCGTCTTACACACATAATTAAGTCGTGCACGTACTTAATTGTGTAAGTAGTGATGGGTCGACCGAGCTCTCCTAGGGAGGGAAATTGAGGTGAAGCCCATTAGGGAACTTGGACGGTCTGAAGAAGTTGGCTTCACTCTAAGAAGCCCGAAGGGCTGTAACGGTTTCATAAACATGGACTGACCTCGGATGGTTCAGGAATATGAATCTGGTGGGCCCAGAATCAAGAAAAATGATTGTTGGGGTCAGTATAAAATAGAGGTGGAGAGATTGGGCTTTGGTACAAAATAGCAAGCAAGATAGGACACTCTCAACAAGGGGGTTGCTAAAACCTGTGTTGTTTAGACTTTTTGGCAGATTAAATTAAGTACATCTATGTACGTATGTATATATGGATACACATATATGCACACACACACATAGGATCACTTAGCACAGGTCCCGACATGCTGTATTTAAGTAATAAATGCAGTCATACAGGTATGAAGGAATACAGGTCTGGATTAACGCTGTAGCTGTGGACATGAAGATATCCAGAATATTCTGATAAAAATTAGACTCTCGTTGGTTGCACAACTGTCTAACAAGTAACAGCAAATCTTTTGTGTTCCTCTTGTAATTGATGGGTTGTCCAAAGTTAATTAGTGGCGTCTTCTCCTCCTGTACTGTTCTTTGGAATGCACATCACACAAACCATCCGTCAGCAGTGTTATTAGACTACGACCGTTTGGTGAGTGAATGCTGAGTTGTCCCTGAAATTCTGAAAGAGGCTTCTGTGGGGTAAATCCCTGGGATATGATGGTAGGACTCTAAAGAAGTTGGTATCAGTACTTTGATGGCTCTACCCATTGGCAGTGCCTAAGGATTTAAATTGCTCAGTGCTGGGGCGCCTGGGTGGCTCAGTCGGTTCAGCGGCTGACTTCAGCTCAGGTCATGATCTCACAGTTTGTGAGTTCGAGCCCCGCGTCGGGCTCTGTGCTGACAGCTCAGAGCCTGGAGCCTGCTTTGGATTCTGTGTCTCCCTCTCTCTGACCCTCTCCCAGTCATGTTCTGTCTCTCTCTGTCTCAAAAATAAACATTAAAAAAAAATTTAAATTGCTCAGTGCTGTCCAGCTTGCCTTTGCTCTGATTCAAAAGGTGGGCCAGTCTGCAGCCTGGATCACTTTAAGGTATGGCACTGCTACAAGGCTAGATGCTGAGCCACTCTGGACCTTTTGCTCTATGACCCTTTATTTAGATTATGAATTTCTTTCAGGAACATATGCAGTTATATAATAGTTCAAATACTATCTGCTATTTGCAAGTTACTGTCCTGGGCACTGAGGTTGTATGATATAAAAGAAAATGCTAGAAGTGAATGATCTGAAAAAATAAAACTGGGATTTAAGAATAATTTGCGGGCTGCCTGGGTGGATCAGTTGGTTAAGCGTCCGACCCTTGGTTTTCACGATCTTGCAGTTTCATAAGTTGGAGCCTCGTTTCAGGCTCTGTGCTGACAGCGTGGAACTTGCTTGGGATTCTCTTTTTCTCCCTCTCCCTCTCCCTCCCTCTCCTTCCCCCCTCCCTCCCTCTCCCCTTCCCCCACTCTTGCTGTCTCTGTCTCAAACTTTAAAAAAAGAACGATTTGCAATTTTTCTTCCCATTAGACTGCTGAGTCAGTGAATCATCATCTAGTTGGATACAATTGCAAATTCTAATGTGTGTATAACTAATTTTATTCTGTATGAATCGTTACGAGTATGGGAAACTATTAACTCCACATTAAGTAACTATTGGCTGTCTTTGGAATCCTATTCTTGCCTTCAAGAAGCTTCCTGTTGAGTAACTTCAAGTGAATTTCTATTCATTAGGTACTTACAAAGGAATTAGCTGTTAGCAGTAATAGTGGCCAGCTGGGAACAGGGTGGTATATAATTAAATGATTGGCTGGGTGTGGTCCTCTGGGAGCTGGGCTCCTCTCTGTGGTGTGTGTTCCTTGAGCATCTGGCTGCATGTTTTAATTTGATGGCTGGTTTTGTGAGTTGGAGACTTCCTTGGAGGGGCAGCGTACTCATTCAAACTCATACACACAAAACCGCACGGGCTTTCTCCATTGGTTGAGAACCAAGCTGCTCTCTCTCCTCTCAAGAGTTCTTCCTACAGTGAAGTGGGACCAAGAGTTGCTTTGATTTCATCCTCTGCTGCTAAGTTTACTTTTAGTTCTTTAGTAGCTTTTATTTGTAGCAAATCTACCTATTCTAACAATTATTGCTTAGCTTACAGTATTACAAGGTTTGCGAATGACTTTATATCTTCCCTTCATTTGGTGGGCAGCTTTATATCTGCTCTGCATTTTGCATCCTTTTATTAGGTCTCATTAACACTTAATCCTGAGAGAGTATTTTTCATCATCATAGCTAACGTTTATTGAGCATTTATTAGTAGATGCTTTATGGGCATCTGATTGGCTCAGTCAGTAGAGATTCTTTTGATTGATTGATTCGGAGAGAGGGAGGGAGAGAATCTTACAGAGATTCCATGCCCACAACTGTGAGATCATGAGTCAGGATTAACTGTGCCGCCCGTTGCCCCAGTCAGTGGAGACTCTTGATCACCAAAAAAAAAAAAAAAAAAAAAAAAAAAAAGGCGCTTTACATCTTTATTTGTACTTCCTAACTCTATGAGACTTGTATTATTGTTCTCTATTTATAAATGAGAAAATTAGGGCCAGAAGTTTTAAGCAATTTGTGCAAGGTCACAAAGCTATGTGATAGAGTCAGGATTTGAACCCAGGTAGTCTTGGCCTCATAGCACAGATTTTTCAATCGTTATGTTGTGCCTCATTCTGCCATATTTCAAATTTTATTTACCCATACAAAGCTCTGGGCTCTGATTAGCAGTATTTTATCAACAGGCTAGCCAGCTACACTTCCATTTAATTGGAGTTTCCAGTCTGCATTTCTCCAGCATGTTCATAAATGTATCCAAGAGGCTACCTTAAATGCCTTTCTAAATCATGATTCCAGAGTATTCTTTAGGATAATAAAGGAGGACATCACCCAGAAAAAGTTCCATTGTTTAAAAAAAAATAAAACAATGGGGCGCCCGGGTGGCTCAGTCGGTTAAGCGTCTGACTTCAGCTCAGGTCATGATCTCATGGTTTGTGGGTTCCAGCCCCGCATCGGACTCTGTGCTGACAGCTCGGAGCCTGGAGCCTGCTACAGATTCTGTGTCTCCCTCTCTCTCTGGCCCTTCCCCTCTCGAGCTCTGTCTGTCTGTCTCTTTCTCTCTCTCTCTCTCTCAAAAATAAATAAACATTGGGGCGCCTGGGTGGCGCAGTCGGTTGAGCGACCGACTTCAGCCAGGTCACGATCTCGCGGTCCCCGAGTTCGAGCCCCGCGTCGGGCTCTCGGCTGATGGCTCAGAGCCTGGAGCCTGTTTCCGATTCTGTGTCTCCCTCTCTCTCTGCCCCTCCCCCGTTCATGCTCTGTCTCTCTCTGTCCCAAAAAAATAAATAAACGTTGAAAAAAAAAATAAATAAAAAATAAATAAACATTAAAAAAAATTGAAAAAACAAAACAAAAACTCTAGGTAAGGCTCTCAGTAGCTCCTTGGCCAAGGCATCTAGCGTGCTCCTGAGACTCTTCAGAGTGAGATGCTGTGTAGCAAACAGCGTTCCCAGGACTTGGCCACACAGCCGTACTTCAAGGGACAGTTTAGGGGGTGGTGTTCATAACACACTTTAGGAAAAGTTAGTGGTCTAATTCATTTGGTGGACAACGTGATATCTACCTTTCTATGCTTATTTATTGTGTCATGTAGCAGTTTCGACAGAAAATAAGATTAGATTTTTCTGGTTATCCAGTGCTGGTTTCTAATGATTGCTTCTGTCTACACAAACCTTTTATTTGTTAGTAATTGAAGAATTTTATTCCCTAGCGGACTGAATGGTCTGCGATTTTTGTTACCCATTTACTGTTTAGGGGATACTTTAAAACTGTTAATTGCACTCTGGTTTTCTGACACGTTCCCAGTTCAAACTTTACCGAGGACTAGTTAGTGGTTTGGAGTGCAACATCTTCCAAGTTTTTCCTGTGTCCTGGAGTGTAATTCCTCTGGGTTTGGGGACTTAAACTCATTTAAAGTGACTTTTATTAGGTCTATATATGTCTTAGGCTTGAATTCCTTTGTAATCATCTAATAACTACCCTTTCCAATTTGAAGATCAGCCTCGAGGTAAAAGGAGATTGTCACTAAATCTGAAAGATTCTTCTTTCTTTCTCTGGATCCATTTCCCTGAAGACAGTGGGGTCAAGTCCTTTCCTCTTCCTGCCTCACATATCCATAGAAAGCACAGTTCAATTGACTCCTGCTTTGTTTTGTTCTAGCCTTCCTGGCTCTGAACCACTCTCTTTTGGTCATTTATCTCTTCCTTTGTCTTTAATGTCCCTTTAAAATCTCTGTTAAGAGCTGGTAGTCAAACAGCTAAGCACTAAATAAATAGCACCACTGATATATGTCACAAATTCGGAGAAGGGAGTGATGGGTGAAAGCCAGAATGATCTCAGAAGGCTTCAGAGAGAGAATTGGATCTGGTGGGACGGATGGGATTTAGATAGGAAAACAGCATTCCAGACAAGGGGCCAAGGGAGGCAGAGGACGGAATATTCAAGGAATGGCAAGTAGTCTAACCGGAGTGGACATTATTCTATAGAAACAGTGGATGTAGCAGTTGGAGTTGGCTTTCGGCATAGTTTCTGGATGAAATTTTGGATAGAACCTAAAGCTGGTGTTTGTATCACAAAAAAATTGTAAAAACCCAAATATCCAATTGTATCAAAGATGTATATGGGTATGTGTTTTCATGAATATGTAACGTGTTTATGGTTTTGTGAGTAGTTCAGCTGCGTGCTCTAAATGCTTTAAAGATCAAGTACGTTGCTGTTATGGCCATTATTTATGGCAGTTCTAAAAAGAATGTGGGAGCCAGGCTATGAATCATGGCAACATTTATTCTGACTCTTAAAACAAAAATCTTTATTTCTTGAGTAAGTACTCACTTTCAGACACACACTTGATCTTTTAAACGTATGTCTTTCAAAATTAAGAGAATTGATACAAAATTCTGTATATGCGAACGTGACCTAGTCGACACTGATGAATCACTCAGTACCCTAAGTAATGTAAATATATTCCTCTTAGAGTGAAATATTTATCTGATAGTTTTTATATCTCTTATTTTCAGGTTGGCTCTAAAGCAGAAGTTGCTGAGTGTAAGGAGAAGTTTGCCACATCGAAAGACCCCACAGTCAGTCAGACTTTCATGTTGGATAGGGTGTTCAACCCTGAGGGGAAAGCTTTGCCGCCGATGAGGGGATTCAAATATACTAGCTGGTCCCCCATGGGTTGTGATGCAAATGGCAGGTGCCTCTTGGCGGCACTGACCATGGACAATCGCCTGACCATCCAGGCTAACCTCAACAGACTCCAGTGGGTCCAGCTGGTCGATCTGACAGAGATTTATGGAGAACGTCTTTACGAGACCAGTTACAGACTCTCTAAAAATGAGGCTCCGGAAGGGAATCTCGGGGACTTCGCGGAGTTTCAGAGGAGACACAGCATGCAGACTCCGGTCAGGATGGAGTGGTCGGGCATCTGCACCACTCAGCAGGTCAAGCATAACAACGAGTGCCGGGACGTAGGCAGCGTGCTCCTGGCGGTCCTCTTTGAGAACGGCGACATTGCCGTGTGGCAGTTTCAGTTGCCCTTTGTAGGGAAGGAGTCCATCTCTTCGTGCAACACGATCGAGTCCGGAATCAACTCTCCCAGTGTTTTGTTTTGGTGGGAATATGAGCACAATAATCGGAAAATGAGCGGCCTTATCGTGGGGAGTGCTTTTGGACCTGTAAAAATCCTGCCCGTCAATCTCAAAGCAGTTAAAGGCTATTTCACTCTAAGGCAGCCTGTTGTCTTGTGGAAAGAGATGGACCAGTTGCCAGTGCACAGCATTAAATGTGTCCCGCTCTATCACCCTTACCAGAAGTGTAGTTGTAGCTTGGTGGTGGCAGCAAGAGGATCCTATGTGTTTTGGTGTCTTCTTCTGATCTCCAAAGCAGGCCTCAACGTTCACAATTCCCACGTCACAGGCCTTCACTCGCTGCCGATCGTCTCCATGACTGCGGACAAGCAGAACGGGACGGTGTATACTTGTTCCAGTGACGGGAAGGTGAGGCAGCTGATTCCCATTTTCACAGATGTGGCGCTAAAGTTTGAACACCAGCTAATTAAACTCTCGGATGTGTTTGGCTCCGTGAGGACGCACGGGATAGCGGTGAGCCCCTGCGGCGCGTACCTGGCCGTCATTACGACCGAGGGCATGGTCAACGGCCTCCACCCCGTTAACAAAAACTACCAGGTCCAGTTCGTTACTCTCAAAACCTTTGAGGAGGCAGCTGCTCAGCTCCTGGAGTCTTCTGTTCAGAATCTCTTCAAGCAGGTTGATTTAATAGATCTGGTTCGCTGGAAGATTTTAAAAGATAAACACATCCCGCAGTTTTTACAAGAAGCTTTGGAAAAAAAGATCGAAAGCAGTGGGGCCACGTATTTTTGGCGTTTCAAACTGTTCCTCTTGAGGATTTTGTATCAGTCGATGCAGAAAACCCCTTCAGAAGCATTATGGAAACCGTCCCACGAGGACTCCAAAATCTTACTCGTTGACTCCCCTGGGATGGGCAATGCCGAGGAGGAACAAGAGGAAGGCACTTCCAGACAGGCCAGTAGGCAGGGCCTTCAGGAGAGGAGCAGAGAGGGCGATCCCGAGGACCCCATCGACGACTCACTGACCCCATCTGGAGACGCCGGGGGCCGGGAGCCGATGGAAGAGAAGCTCCTGGAGATCCAAGGGAAGATCGAAGGCGTGGAAATGCACTTGACCAGGGAGCACATGAAGCGGGTCTTAGGAGAAGTGTACTTGCACACCTGGATCACAGAGAACACGAGCATCCCCACCAGGGGCCTCTGCAACTTTCTGATGTCTGACGAGGAGTACGATGACCGCACGGCACGGGTAGGTGTTTCTGGCGGAAGCACGAGAACGGTAAGAGGTCTGCTTTCTGCATGAGGGAGAAGTGGTCCAAACCAATTCCTAACCCAACTTTGACTTCGATATTTTGTAAGGAGTTGATTGGCGTGAGGTGCAGGAGAATAAATAGGAAACGTGGATTAATGCAGAGGACATTTGCAAATCATACAAAAAAACATTTCGATGCTTCCTCCCACGGCAGCCTGATGGATAAGCAAGGTTTGCGGGCTGAGATCCCCCGGCTGTGGATGAGCCGGAGGAGGCTTCGTTTAGCGAGTCATATGTGACTGGGCAGTGACAGCAGGGCAAATGTGACACCCTGCTTGCTTCCCTCCCTGTTTGCAGAAGGTTCTGGGGTTGGGAGACGGGGCGGCGGTGGCTGCACAGGGACTGCGCACATTTGGGAAGACTTGACGAGGCCTTTTGATGTAGTCAAGAAGGGCATGTCAAGTAAGCAGATTATTACTCATAATGTTTACTTTTACAAAAACTGGGCTTAATCTTTATTTTGGTTTAGAAGCATCTTAGAGCCTTATCCGAAACGTATTCCACAGAATTCAAGTTCCCTGATAGAACGATAGGGTTACATTTTGTCCTCTTCTTAGAGGCTCCCAGTGTACCTTATCCTTTTGATGGTTCTGGGAATTCCTGCAGAGAAGAAACCCTTTGACTTTGTGTACTTCATTGTTACCCTGACATCAGGGAACCTTTCTTTGTGAAGTAATAGCTCCTAAAATCCTGAAAAACTTTTGTTTCAAGGAATATACTTTATAGTAATGTATTCAGAACTACAAAAGCCCGTGCTCCTTTTTACTCTTAAGACTAACACTTCTTCTCACTGCCCAGAGTCTTAAAATTGAAGGCAATAGGGGCACCCGGGTGGCTCAGTCGGTTAAGCACCTGACTCTTGATGTCAGCTCAGGTCATGATCTCACGGTTAGTGAGTTCATACCCCGCATCAGCACGGAGCCTGCCTGGGATCTTCTCTCTCCCTCTGCGCCCCTTGCGTGCACGGTTTCTCTCGAAATAAATAAATAAGCTTAAATAAAATAAAATCGAAGGTAGTAAATTCAGGTATCTTCGTGCCTAATGTTAAACCACTCACAAACTCCTTGCTGCATTTTCTTGTTGGAAAGTGTGCATATCCACCCCGAAATTATTCCGCCTAGGATATCTGCGGTAAAATCTCAAGAGTAGTTACAATGTACTGTTCATGTAACTGATTTTTCATCTCCGAAAGTCCGCTCTTAAAAAGTATTCCGTTGTGCTCCCAATTGCGAATTGTGAGGAAGTTTTCTGGACCTAGCAGGAGTGTTACAAGAGTCGGTGAAAGATTAACAAAACATTTTAGGAAGTACGTGGTGGAAGTTGGTGGTCGTAGTTTAGGTAATTGTCCAGGTGGGCAATGAGCACAGGAAGCTACTGGCATAGTCACGTGTTTCCAACAGAGCCAGGGGAGAGGAGGGAAGATGGCACCTCTGTTATCGGTAAAACTGAGTTTTGATTAGAAACGCTGCATTTCAGGGCACCCGGGGGGCTCAGTCGGTTGAGCGTCCGACTTCCACTCAAGTCACCATCTCATGGCTCATAAGTTCGAGCCCCACATCCGGCTCTGTGCTGACAGCTCAGAGCCTGGAGCCTGCTTTGGATTCTGCGTCTCCCTCTCTCTCTGCCCCTCCCTTGCTCCAGCTCTGTTTCTCTCTCTCTCAAGAGTAAATAAGCATTAAAAAAAAAATAAACACTACATTTCATGTCTTTAAAAAAATCCCACTATATACATGAAACGAACCTTTTCAAACCTAGCGCATTGATCTAGTAATTACAAATTGTTTCTGAGATTCTCAGCCTGATATGTTGGTGTAGTTAAGACTATCACTGCCACCCGCCACCCCCAGCATTTTTAGGCATTTTTCCCCCTAATTGTTCTTGCCTGTAACCTACTAATAATACAGCTACATTGTGCATGTGTTTTGATACAGATTACATACGTCAATGTGCTTTATGCATAAAAAGGGTAAGAATTCTTGTCCTCCCAAGAATAAGTATTTGTCCCTTGGAAGGAACAGTATCTCCCCCATTGGGAATGTAGGAGTTACACTAATACAGTTGGGCTTGCACAATCAAGGCTAGTGAGAACAAACGTGGAAGCACTTCTTCCTTGTGTAAAACTGGAGTGCGTCTCTCCTGAAGGAGTCCGGAGTAGGTTTTGTCGTACCACTGTCAGCGTGTTTGACCTGTCCGGAAAAGAAGGGAGGGGTGGTTGTCGCTGCACGAGGGACCAAAAATTAGAATTCTTAAGGCTAAAAAACCTAGAAAGCCAAAAGGTAATGGGCTTTAGATTTGTAAATTACGTACTGAGTAGGTCAGACAACACCCTTTGGAACTGTTAAGATACCCTTCAGAACTTCAGTGAGCTAATTTTAGTGAGTGGCTGAAGGTGAGTTCTTCCGCCAGAACTTAAGTGTAAATGGATTAAAAAGCTTGAAGGACCTTATCTCCGAGTGAGACGAGGAAGTTCTAAAGGCTTGTTGTATCTACGCCTGCAAAAGATGTAGCCAGTGAAGGTTTTTTTCAACAAAGTGATGAAGTAGATACCTCTTTTTAGACTGATTTTTCCTTTGCTGTGATCCTAACGAGGCAGAGAAAAGCCGAAATAGGGACCAGCTCTAGAGCCTGTGCTGTCAGCCTCTCCACGGGGGGCCCACCGCCCCTCTGCAGGGGGCCCAGTGGTTCACAGATGGCAGGCTGCTAGACCAGATTGGTCATGGGTCTTGGGGCTATCAGAAAGGGAAATGATTATTTTTTAATCCTGCTTATACTTTGTAAGCCTCTCTTATTAAAGAATGGACGTTTGTACAATCTTACAAAGTTAGCATTTCACAGACTACTTCACCCGTAGACTTTATGCTTCCCCTTCTGAAGTCATTATAAAGAATAGCTAAATACTTTTTCTTCTAACAGAACTCTGAATTCCTGGTTTCAGAAGCTGCTAAAACGAGGCAAGTGGTAAGATTTTGATTTTCAGAACAGGTTTTTCTTTAGTGGCTAGCATTCACCCTGTTACCAGAGGGTCCCTCAATGAATTTAGTTTACTCAGCTAGTCAGCACGTGGAGAAGGTCTGGCTTTGTCACGTTCAGACACCATGAGCGGCCTGCGTGGAAATGCCGATCTCCCATCCATGCGGCATATGTTTTCCTTCCTCCACTGGGTCAGTAGGCTTTTTCTTTGACAAGTCTTACACTCACCCCACTAAACATTGCCGACTGCTTTGTCTCATTAGGTGCTGATTGGACACATCTCAAAGAAGATGAACAAACAGACCTTCCCTGAGCACTGTAGTTTGTGTAAAGAGATCTTGCCATTCACAGATCGCAAACAGGCAGTCTGCTCCAATGGCCACATCTGGCTCCGGTAAGCCATTGTAAGCCAGCCCCTGCTTTGTGCACCTCTTCCAGGTTTGTGCCGCACTGAGCGCGGTAAAGTGTGTGTCTAAAACATGTCGCCCCTGCCACTCGGTTGGAGAAAAGCCACTACCAAAAAGCCAGGCATAGACTTTTTTCATCGGTCTTACTAAGGCCAGACGCTCTCTAAAGACCATGTTTTTACCGCCTGACATACAGAGGGCTTTCTTTATTTTGGCGATACGGTTTTCCTTTGAAGGAGCGTTAAAATTGTAAAGTATTACAAAAGTATTGTCTGTTGAAGTTAGTGGAATGTAAAAGAGGTCGTGCACTCGTTTGGGTCTGACTTTATACTGAAAGGTGGAAGTCTTCCTGCTCTCACCGGAAGAGGGCATCTTGGCTCAAACCCGACAGACCCGTGAGCCGCGTCCGACACCGGGCGTCACTCCCCGGCTTGCTCCTTGAAGCGCCCGCGTCTCCCGGCGTCCTGGACGCCATCCTCCCTGGTTTCCCTCCGGCCTCTGACGCTTCGTTCTTGTTGTCTCTGCTGGTTCTGCTTCGTCCCCTGGAGACCCATCCTGGACCTGCTTCTCCTTCGTCAGCACTTCCCTGGCTGTCACACACCGCCTGTCTGCGGGTGACTTAAACGGAGAGCTTTAGCCTGAATCTCTCCCCCGAAAGCCAGACTTTCGTGTCCGACCACCTGTGCAGTGTCTGTGTTTGCACGTTTAACGGGCGTTTCCAGTTTGCATCCAGCCTGTTCTCACTGCCTCCGCCTCCCCAGTCCTGGTGAAGACACCATCCTCCCTTGCCGGGGTGACGTAGTCATCTCCCCGCAGGTGTCCCCGCCTCCTCCCATGCCCTCTGGTCTGTCGTCAGTGTGGCCATGATTGTGATCCTACTAAGACTTCATCCGTTCATGTCACCCCTCTCTCTGCTCAGAACTCTCCAGAGGCTGCACATTTGGGATGAGTAAACACCAAAACCCCTTTAGTGACCAAGACTGCACAGCCTGGCCCCCATCCCCTCTCTGACCTCCTCTCCTGTGCTTCTCCGCCTTGCTTGCTTCACTCCAGCCCACTGGCCTCAGTGCTCCTCAGGTACACAAGGCACCCCTCCTCCTCCGGGATGTCTGCACTGCCATTCTCGCTGCCTGGCAATGCTCTTCTGACCAGTGTCCGCGTGGCTTCCTCAGGCGTTCCTTTCTCGGTTAGGCCTTTTTCCTGGCCACGCTACCTGGAACCGTAACCCCTGCTGGCGTCCCCTGCCTCCTGGTTTTCCTGTCGCTTTTCCTTGCCTTGCTGTCCTCCCTAGCAGTCACCGCCTCCTCATAGATGTTTACTGTTTGTTTCTCCCTCTCCCCTGGGATACAAAGCTCCATGAGGACGGGGAATTTTGTGTCCACAGCTGTTCCTAGAACAATGCCTGGTCCTTGGTAGGTACCCATTCCACCTGCCCTTTGTAGCCTGGTCCTGATGGGTGTTTAGCGAGTGGTCACAGGACAGGGCCGAACCTGGGGACGTCTCTTCACCTCCCGTCTGTCTGCACCGTTAACTTTGTCTTCTGTACCTTTCAGGTTTTCCCCATTGTACTGTCACATCCTTAAACACAGTGCTTAGATCTAGTCTTCAAAATCACATACAAGAATAATTTGCCATATGATACCTGATCGTCTTTTTTAACATGTCAGAAATTCAAAATATGGACAGGTATGGACAGAGTAAACGCTTTCCCAGTGACGCAAATGGCCAACAAGAAGTGGCAGCGACTGGACTGGAAGCTTCGTGTGTCTTGGCTCAGCAACCTGCCCCTGAGCGGGGACCCTCGCTGAGGGTGGGGCAGCGCAGGTGTGCAGAGGGCTACCCTGTCGCCATGCGCGTGAGCGCCGTTTACGGGCTTCACTTGGTTAGCGGATGGTTTTACGGGAACTGTGTGGCGAGTTGCTCCTGACGATCCAGTCTGTATTCTCTCAGGTGCTTCTTAACCTACCAGTCCTGCCAGAGTCTGATCTACAGAAGGTGTTTGCTCCATGACAGCATCGCCCGCCACCCAGCTCCAGAAGGTGAGTGCTTGCCCAGCCCTGGGAGGGTGGCGCTGACTCAGCTCGGGTCAGGCTCCGCCCCGCAGGACCTTAGGCCACCGGGGACCGTCAGCAGGCTCATTCTGCTCTTTGCAGTCTTACCACGAAACCACAACTAATGAAAAATTGAGAACTGGAATATGTCACGCGGAAGGATACAGTTACTGCACGCTGGTGTGTGAGTAGGGCTGCACTTTGCTGTTCCGTTACTGCGAACAAATTATTCATTCAGAAAAATGTCAGAGCTCGTGTTAGATGGCACGTGTAGATTATATTTGGATGGAGATTCTACAAATGATGAGGTATACGGAGACAGCATTGCTAAGCCAGAATATTCAGTGTGTGCTTGGACTCATCCTTCTAAAAGCCATGACGGGATTTTCCTGGCTGGCCTGTATTCTCTTTCCTGATGGGCCCGGTGACAAAGCCCACATTTCTGAGATGATGAGTTGGAAGTAAGATCATAGAGGCGGGCAAGGAATTAGTGATTTAAATAGTCACATGAACGTCAGATTCATGACCCAAAGCTCATTCACATCACATCGCACTCTAACCAAAAAGGCTAACTAGACATAAGCGTATATAATTATCTACACGTTTGGGGGAAATTTGTGGTCTCGATGAACTAAAACAAAACATTCTCCATAAAACTATGCCCTTTTTCTTGATTTTTACTCCAAACTGGCTAACGTCTCATTCTGAGAAATTGGTGTGCTGGCAGCTTGTGTTCTTTTTAAGTTGTTACTATGGAACAACTGTGGAAAATGTAGCCACATACAAAAGTAGAGAGTATAATAAATCCTCATGTAGCCATCATTCAGAAATTGTCAGCTCATGCCTTTTTTTTTTTTTTTTTTTGATGTTTATTTATTTTGAGACAGAGAAAGTGTGAGCGAGGGAGGTACAGAGAGGGAGGATCCCAAGCAAGGCTCCACACTGTCAGCACAGAGCCCGATGTGGGGCTCGATCTCACAGACCGGGAGATCATGACCTGAACCCAAATCAAGAGTGGGACGCTTAACCGACTGAGCCCCCCAGGCATCCCAGCTGGTGGCTTTTTGTTCTCTCATCTGTAGTCCCCCATTCGCTTTCCTCCTCTTACTGCGTTATTTTGAAACAAATTAGAGGGAACTTTAAACACTCACTGCAGTTGAGAATTGGTCTGTTTAGACAGGAAATCAGGAAAAGATGGGAGACAAATCAAAGAAACGAATCCACCTGCCAAATTGACCTTGAGTTGAGCTACATACAGCTTTAGGAAGAATGAGAATCTGTGGGTCTGGAGAGCAGTCGTACAATAAAGCACTTACAGATTAGGGGAGTTTTTAAAGGGGGAGACGGTGTTGAGCCAGTGTGGTCATGCTTTTTTCCAAGTAATACATTAAAAAAAAAATACCATTACTGTAATTTTATAAAAGGATATCTTAGGGGCATCTGGGTGGCTCAGTCATTTAAGTGTCCGACTTCAGCTCAGGTCATGATCTTGAGGTTTATGAGTTCAAGCCCCGCATCGGTCTCTGTGCTGACTGATAGCTCGGAGCCTGGAACCTGCTTCAGATTCTGTGTCTCCCTCTCTCTCTGCCCCTCCCTCGCTTGTGTGCTCTTTCTCTCTCTCTCCCTTTCTCTCTCTCTCTCTCTCTCAGAGATAAATAAACATTAAAAAAAAATTTTAGCATTAACAGTGTACTAAGGCTATGTTCCCAGAACAAAGTACAGTCCCCGTCCTTGAACTGAATAAGTTTAGCTGTATGAATCATTCATTCATTACCCTTCTCTTCCTGTTCCATCATAGAGGGATGAAAATTTCATCGCACACTTAGCTTTGGGAAGCACAGATCTAGTCCAGCTGGTCTAGGATGTTGGCGCGAGGTGCTCTGAGGACGCAGAGCCAGGACCAGGCCTCTTGTGCGTTCACGCTGTCCGGCCAGGCCTCAGCCCACCCGCTCCGAAGCCGACACTCAATGCCACTTGTCTTCCTTTGCAGATCCTGACTGGATTAAGAGGTTACTGCAAAGCCCTTGCCCTTTCTGCGATTCTCCCGTCTTCTGAACGTCAGCGGTGGGAAGATGGGAAGGGCACATACTCTGTTACAGAAAATGCCCTCTGGCCTGAAGACGTAGGACGCGCTGGCTGATCCCGGCCTTCGGGTGGCGAGGCTCTCTCTCTCCAGGAGTGTAGATAGGGCCCTGGGAACTCATTTCTGAAGCACGGTCTCTGTCTCCGGGGACTAAGGGATTTCTTTGAAACAACTGAATGCAGAGATTTTAAGTCATTCTGAGATGAACATTAGCCCCCCGCCTCCTCACCAGTGAGGAACACTTATTTTTCAAGTGTTTTGACTGAAGCAGTTTGAACCACAAGAATGCCCTATCATCTCTGGGAACAGAACGATCTCTTCTAGAGAGTTGGGGTAAGGGCCTCGCTGGACCAAGTTGGGCTTAACGCTTGCCTTAGTGCCGAGCCGCTGCTCCAGAGAGCTTAAGCGCGCGGTGCATGGTACGCGGTATCCCGGCACACGTTAAAAGTGTCGGAAACAGCACAGGGTCCTGATGCTTTGTTCCGAACAAACAGCCACAGATCTGTATCCCGAGGATTCCTGTTTCTCATGCATATGGAAACCATTCTCATAGAACTGGATTTTTAAGAGGTTGAAGCCAAGACTAAAGTTGGCTTTAATGTGTCAAAAGATCAGGTGATTCTCCTAAGTTAATAATTGTGACTTATTTTTAGTGAGCTCCCATGTTAGCAGGTTTCCTGTCCTTTGTCCTTAATGTGTAAAGGACATCTGGTATTCCCGTTCACCCGTGACCCCTCCCTGCTTCAGACTGACTGTCACAGCCTACGTGAGATTTTTGTACATAGAAGAAAAAGAATATTTTCTCCTTAAATCTTGGAGTGTTTTTAATGTTGACATGTCCAGACGTTTCATTTATATCCAGTATGAGAACGTGCAGTCCATCTAAAGACTTCCAGGAAACTTCCAGAGAGCAGTGGGCAGCCCAGACGTGCTCTGGTGCCACAGGTGTGTGCGGCTCCGTTGACGGGAGCCTGGGGCTTTCTCCTCAGTATAAAGGTCCTTGGTATTTGTAATACTGGTATTTTCCTCTGGGCTGTTAAGAGGAACTGTTAGACATCAATTGGCCTTAAAGTCCAAAACTAAAGATGGACATTCAGAAATTACAGTGTTGCCAGATTACAAAGTAAGTGTCCTAGGGATCGGTGCTATTCAACAGGACTGCGATGCCCACAGCTCGAGATGGTGCACGTTTCTGGGAAGTTGGATAGGAAACACAAAACGTGAAATTGCCACTTCTGTCCCATGCTGTCTGGCCTTTATTCTGACATTTATTCCTGCCTTTCTTGTGATCGCTCAGAGAAAGACATCTTGGCCTCGCTTCAGAAACACCTGCTGTTTGGACGAGATGCCCCCGGACGCCCCCCACACCACTGCATTCTCGCCCCTCCGCTCGCGCGTTGAGAGCCAAGAGCCCTTCAGAGGCGCTTCCAGTCTGCTTTGAAATGTCTTTGGCTTCCTGTTCTAATCTTGCTTTGTCTCCTGTGTTCAAATCTGTATTTTCTGGAGTCTTCTGCTTATCCTTCTCCTCTTGGTGACTTCAAGAATAGTGTTGATCCAGATGCCAGTGTCTGGCACGTTAAGTTGGTTTTCAGGAAAGGATCGGGCGGCATTAAGGTCATGGGTGGGTGACGCAGCTCAGAAGGCGGTGTGGCCGTGGTCGTTTGTGCCTGTAGCTGTTTGACATGACAGCAAATGGGAGGGTAAAAATTGAGATCGTGTCAAGGAATTATTGCAATTTTCATAATCATGGGATGCTTAGTCTCGCATATTTTTGGTTCCAACCAGGGTCAGTGTTCAATTTGTTCCAATTGGGGACTTATGTGCCGCTGCCATTTAAAACTTACATTAAGTTTTCATTTAAAACAGTTGTACATTTGGGGGGAATTTAACTCTTGGGAGTTAACTAGAAGGGTCTCCCAAATTATTTTGTATGTCTATGTAGGAATAAACATGGCAACTGTTGGGCTAGAACCTGGCTTGTCTCTGCGCGGGACTAGGCCTGGGGGCATTCTTCAGATTCTGAGACCCACCCGGCCCCTGCTCGGCCCGCGTTTCTGCGTGGAGCTGGGCGGTCTCCCCCTCTTCCAGCCCCGCCCCCTCAGCCACGGAGGCTGGCGTGAGCTCGTGGCGGCATCACCAACGCAGTCCGCTTCCGACTTCACAAAGAGCCAGAGCACCTGATGACAGAGCGCCGGTCGGTGGGACCTTGAGAACGCAGGGGTGACCCCTGGAATCTTCCGGCTCATTATCTCTCGCGGCTTAAACTTGTCATGCCCTCTGTGCTTCCTCACATCTGCCTGATCTGGTTAGTGGCTTTTGAGTTTCTCTCGGCTGTCACTGTGACAACCGTTTCAGAAGCGGTAGAGGCGGCAGAAGCCACGGTGTCGTGCTGCTTGGGAGCACGGCGGCAAAGACTGTGTGCAGTTAGGCCTTTTCAGCTACAACACGTTGCATTCGGGAGTCTGATAGCCACACCTGGGTCGCGCTCTTTCTGCCCGGGGTCAATTCGTCCCCATTACTCTAGATAAGAAATCGATAGCTTGTTATGCTCGGGATTCATCCTGAAACCCTCCTGTGTCCACCACCCAGGCTTCAAGCAGCCTCTACCTGCTGTCACATCTGCCAGGACTACCAATTGTTTTTCAGTGTCAGGACTTATTAGAACCACTGGCGATGCGTGTGGTCGAGTGTGACGTCTTCCTGCCTCTCTCCAAGAAGCTTTTGGGAGCGTTCATGTTGAAACGTGCGGGTTGGACCTGTTAGCGAGTGTCGTGGGTTAATCAGGTGAACGGAACGTTAAAGGGTAGTAATGGAACATTAAAATATACTCTGTTGTAACTAGAACGCTATCAGCTAAGAAGCAGAAGAAGTTGGTGGTTATTGGCGCCTGTCATGGGGAGTTTTAAGGAACACCTGCTCGGCTTGCAACAGTCAAACCGCTTCCGAGTTTAGTGACTTTACTGCAGGAACGAACGCCACCGGTCCAGGTCCAGAGCCTTCTTGTTCCTGATTCCTGTCTCTTGCCTGTCCTTCCTCTTGATTTCCCTTCCTCTGGTTTTCTCAGCTTCAGGACACATCCAGAGCTAGCAGATTTCATGCTTGAAAGAACGACAGATCAGTGATAAAATCTGTACAAATTAAATCACACGGTAGGTCTCCCTTCCCAGAAGAGACGGCATCACACAGTGACTTCTTTCTAAGGGTAACAGCGTTAGTTGTTAGCTTGGTAAACTGTATCTGGTTTTCTTTGAAACTCTTGGTTATTTCTGTGGCAGAGTGCTCAGCAGCTCCTGGCTGGGCTTTGGGATAGAGTCTGCTAAATGTTAGCTCCTTACTCTACCCACCCCCCTCCCCAAGCCAGCATTGTCCTGACAAGCAGAACTTCTGGTGACGCCGAGCCGAACGGGTTGTATGAGAAGTCAGCCGGCCTAAGTTTTTCTAAGGGAAAGATACATTCTGCCCTTTTTTTTTTTTTTAAGAGATTGGGCGGTGAAAACAGCCAATAGGCAGAGAAATGAATGAATGTCTTAATGTTAGCCCCCCGTGGACCCTTGAGGGCGTCTGCGTGGCTCCTGAGATCAATCACGAACACACCTCTCTGCTCACACGCTCCCTTTCTGTGTGTCCGTGGAGTTGCACAGTTCGGTGAGGCTCCAGCGTGTCTCAAGAATCTAACCTCGTCCCTCAAGGTTGTCGGTTTTACGGGTGCCTCTAAAAGATCTAACTGTGGTGACTTGTTTTCATGTTAGTCGTTAGTGGAAGCATGCACAGCTTCGAGCGGAGGAGGTGTGTGTCTCAGGTCTGATAGTTACTAAACTTCAAACCACTCTTTCTTGAGGCTAAGAAAGGTTTGGGGAGTTATGATCTTCATATTTGCTAAGATGCTACCTGCTATTTAAAGTGATCACAGGGGCGCCTGGGTGGCTCAGTCGGTTTAGTGTCCGGCTCTCTGATTTCCGCTCAGGCCATGATCTGACGGTTCATAGGATCGAGCCCCACATCGGGCCCTGTACCGACAGTGCAGAGCCTGCTTGGGATTCTGTCTCCCGCTCTTTCCCTTCCCCGCTGTCTCTTCCTCTCTCTCTCAAAATAAAAAACGTTAAAAAAACTTTTTAAGTGCTTACAGAGCGTGTGAAATCTGACTGTCCTTAAGTGGAATTAAGTCAAATTTGCAAAATACAGAGTTGTTTCTAAAGGTCTGAAATACTGTAGCGTCACTGTCCTGATGAAACGGTGGGGTTTTTCGGAAGACTGGGCACTCGCTTCCCAGGTGCTGCTGTAGATCAGTATGAAGCCTTCTAGCCAGGCTGAGTCTGGTAGGCAGGCTGCGGCCTCCCTCTGCAAATGTGCTCCGTTAGAGCAGGGCTGCTTCTGAAAACTTGCTGTGTTTCAACCAATCGGCTTAAGGGGCGAATGGCTGTCAAAAAAAATATCCTATGAAGAAGTTATTCCTTTTAGAATATGACTGCTTCTCCCCCAGTGTCTTTATCTGATTAGGTGACTCAGCTTTTCTTACCTTGCTTTTTTTTTTTTTTTTTTTTTTGAGTTATAATTATACTCGGGGTGGGGCGGGTCTTAATATACAGCCTGAGGTTCCAGTCGGTGAATGAGTTTATTCAGGGCAGGATTGTTCAGACGGCCAACACGGCGGTGCCATTCGTTCCAGGCTGGGCGGGAGCTGAAAAGGCGGCAAGATGATGCCCGCCTCCTGACGCGGTACAGGCGGAGCCCGTCCAGGTGAGCCGCCGTAACTGGGCCGGGGAGGTTCATTTAAAGTTCGGCACTCTAAATCTTGTCCGTTTCCATGGTAAAAATCTGCTTCCCTCGCCGTCACGACATCCCGTTACTCTCGCAGAAAGATCCCGTAAGGTGGTCAGGCTGGACCCCGGAAGAGGTGGCAAAATGGCTACGAGACGCTTTTGTGCTTTATCGGTTTTACGTTTGGCGACCAGACTGCTGGGGTGTCACGCGCTTTGGTCTGGGTGCTAATGCAAAATTAAAAGCAAAAATGGGTTATTATGGCTTCTTCAGGACTTTGACTCAGATTTGTACTTTACGAAAGGAACATGAATATCAAACCTGTTTATACAGAAACAAGACCGCATAGAAAAATTAGTGTGTTGTGTATAGTGATACATAGTTTATGTTTACCCAATGCCTGTGCTAATCTTCGTGCTCAGCTTTGAATTATATGTATGTTCACATAGGACTTTTTTTTTTTTTTTTTTTTTTTTTTTTTTTTTTAATGAAAAGAACAGGTATCTAAAAATCTTAAGGTTAGAGAGAGAGAGTTTCTCAGTGCTTACCATCTGGTTGGGTGGTGTGTTTTCGACTTTTGGCATTTAAAGGAAACTTTAAGAACAGGAACACCTCTGGCCTGGAATACCCCGCATCCAGAAAAATTGGTTGCTTCTCTGCACTGTATATATGTACATAGTGTTCATGATTAGATTGTAAGCTCCTCAAGGGCAGGGACTGTCTGCTTCATCTTGGTAGTTCCTGCAGCACCTAATGTCAAGTGCCTTGCACGGAGTAGGTGCTCCTGATGCGTAGAATGAGTCACTTCCTGCCACCTTCAAGACGGAGCATGGTTCCCTTTTTCCAGCGCGTTCAAAACTGCAAAGACTGCCGACCCGAAGAGGGCCAGAGTCCCGCTTGGGTTCGAACTGGGCTTCCTGGGTTGAACCAGGCCACGCCACATCATCAGCACTCGTTCGCTGCCTTTTCCTGAAGATCATATCCCAGTGTCCTGAGCTTTTATTTAATACTAGGGCAAAGGTTGCTGGGACAAGTTTGAAGTGGAGAAGAGTGGAGAAAAAACAAAGAGGTTGTGGAGGGTGTGTTGTCGGCATACAGCCCTGCGGGGCAGTCTTTCTGTAGTCACTGCTGAAGAAGGAAAACCTAACAGGTACTCGTTTCCTTTACCGGTCAGCTGGTTGGCCGGTTTTCCAGTTAATGAAAGATGGTTGGTTTTTAGCTTTTTCCCACTTTGGACGCCCCTCAGTTGCTTGTATGCTTCTAGTAAAGTTGCTGTGAATATCCGGTGCTGTACATAACGGCAGTTTTGTAAATGTGGAACGACCTCGAACATGTGGTGTTTTGTATGCAGAGCCGCAGTATTATCTTGGCCACTTTTTTATTCAAAATAAATAAATAACAGAATTGTTTGTATATTGTGTGCATACTTTGTCAGGTTCACATGGTTTGTAGCAAAGTCTAGAAACCTCCTTAGGCCCAGCACCATCACCAGCAGCGGTAAGTAATGCCCAGGCACGAGCAGAGGAGGAGGAAAGAGCCGTGGGTGTTAAAGAAACGCCAGTAGCAAGTACGGCAGAAGCCATTCAGTGTGCCTTTGGTTTATTCCAGAAAAAGGTACGGGGAACGTAAGAGGAAGTAATCAGAGCTTCGGTGTGGCGTGGGACACTGTATGTCCTCGGCAACGTCAGCTACGTAGGACCTGGTGAGTTTGTAAACGAAGTTCTGATTGCAGGATTTCAGCAGCGACAAACTCGTAACTCGGAGCCCTGCCGAGAGCAAAGCGAGAGACGGAACAGGATGAGAAAACGAATGACCCTCCTCAAAGTAATAGTAAAACTGCTGAAAATCAAAGGCAAAGAGAAGGCTTTGAAGCAGCCAAAGAAACAGACATCACTTTAAAAGGAGCAGAAAGAGAAGGTACCTTAAAAGGGGCGGTAGTAAGGCTTCAAGAAGAATTCCGGATGCGGACGGGAAAGCGGGAGGGCTGCAGAGGGGCGGGAAGACCGCAGCTTCCAACCTAGAATCCGCAACTCCACGAAGATGCCCTTTAAATGAAAAGTACAGGGGTGCCTGGGGGGGGGGTTCAGTCGGTTACACGTCCGACTTCGGCTCAGGTCATGATCTCACAGTTCGTGAGTTCGAGCCCCATGTTGGGCTCTGTGCTGACAGCTCGGAGCCTGGAGCCTGCTTCTGATTCTGTGTCTCCTTCTCTCTCTGTTCCTCCCCCGCTCACACTCTTTGTCTCACAAATAAATTAACATTAAAGTTTTTATTAAAGAGGGGCACCTGGGTGGCTCAATCGGTTGAGCGTCCGACTTCAGCTCAGGGCATGATACCACACTCCATGAGTTCGAACCCACGTCACGCTCTGTGCTGACAGCTCAGAGCCCGGAGCCTGCTTCAGATTCTATGTCTCCCTCTCTCTCTGCCTCTCCCCGGCTCATGCTGTGTGTCTCTCTGTCTCAAAAATAACTAAAAACATTTAAAAAAAATTAAAAAAAATTTTTAAAGAAATGAAAAGTCAGATGTTTTCAGGCAAAAATGGGAAATAACGCATCACCGCCAGATCAGCACTAAAGGGGATGCTAAAGGGCGGGAGGGGGGGTGAGGGGGGGGTGGAAGGAAGATCCAAGAAGCTGCAAGGACTGGAGAGCTGGAGGGCAAGGGGCGGGCGGACACCAGGTACAAAGTACCAAGTCCGGAGAGGTTCTGAGACGAGGCAGGAGTAACCACCTGAAGAATAATAAGAAGGTGTGTGATTCAGCTAACAAATGGGGGAAAACTAGAACTTTTTTTAAATAACCCAAAACAGGAGACAGAAACCTAAGATGGACTAGGCTGGGAAAATGAAAAGCAATTAAGATCATCGATTTACACCCAGTACAGCACTAATTACATGAAATGTAAATGAACAAGGGATCCAAATAAAGCAAGCGTTGACAGAAAAACAAACCATGTTGCTCGGAAGTGATAAATGGGAAATATGTAAAAGTTTATAAAGTACAGAAGCTTTTAAGGCGTGGAAAAGGTAGCTGAGGTTCCACTCTTCCCTACCCCCAGCCCTCAGGCCCCTTGCCATAGATTTTCCGTCTACACAGGCGATCAGCCCGACACACGGTACTTTGAAACCGTGGCTCCTCTTGGCTCTGGCAATCTGGGGAGTGGGTTCAGGGGTCTGGGAAGTGCACGGCGGAGGTGCCCACAGGATGGGTTTCATTCCTGGGCTTGCGGGCGGCCTCCGTGTGGGTGAGCGGCGGGAGGGCGGGAGGTCCCTGCTGTATCTTCTCGGGGCTTGGGCACAGGAGTCTGGAGGGTCACAAACCTTCGGTGCGCAGTGCTGGTGTCCCTTCCTGCACATCCAGGAAGCATTCCCTGCCCCCGTGCCCATGGCTCCTTTAGCAACGACCCTGGTGCAGCCCTGCGGGTGACCAATTTGCTCAGCTTGTGTTTGCCCGATAAATGTATTTCTTTTTTTCTTTTTTAAAGTGGTTCATATGTATGGTTTTTTTGTTTTTTTTTTCTTTTTTTTCCCCACTCCCATCTTTGGAGAAGATTTTCACAGGATATAGCAAGGGGGAAAATTTTCTGCTGCTTCTCCCCAGCTCCCCAACACATTAAAATTCTGGTTCCACTGTTTTCTGGCCTCCAATGGTTTTAAGTAACCTCCCCCCCTAAATGTAATGTCTTTTGTTCTCTCTGCTTCTCCTATCTTTGTTCAGTCTGTCCGCGGCTTCGGTAACCGTGCTCCGGGTGCCGAGGCTGGGACTTGAGCTTCCTGCCTCGAGACCGATGGCTCTCTGTGGGTCCGAGGCCTCTCTCCAGCACAGGGGGCTCGCCTGGCCGCACCCAGAGGTGCGGGGGAAATGAACACCCCCTCGGGGAGCAGGGACCTGAGATCACAGCTCATTCTCACGGCCTGTTCTGGGGGCAGTGAAAGCAAAGCGATCGGTCCCAGAGGCAGCCCTACAGAGCAGCCGCTTGAGATGGGATTCCGGGATCGGTTCGCTTGCCGGTCAGTTGGCAAGAGGCAGCACAGCGCTGGTGGGACGTCCCGGGAGCTACCGCCAAGTGTGCACGCAGGGCAAGGTCTCCCGGCCTCAAGCCGGGCTCCTGGTAACTCAGATCTGGGAGGAGGACCCGAAAAGACCTGAATCCCCAGGTTCCCTGGAATCCCGTCGGCCAGCAGACTGGTTCCGTCCCCCTCGCTACGGGGGAGCGTCTCTGATGGCCAGGAGGCCTTGCTGAGGTCACCCGCAGCCTCACAAGATGGAATTTTCCCTCGTCCAGATCTGTCGTCACCCCCCTCATCCTCTCTAGGTCAACACTGGGGTTGATTTCGGCCTCGCCCACGTGGGGAGTCACAGTCACTGCCATGGGGGGACACGGCAGCCTCCCCAAAGGGCTGCGGAAATCAGGGAGTTTGGGCTGAGTGGGGGGAGACCAGAGGCCTTGCGGGGAAGCCTGCGGGCGTGGGAGCCCGCTGGGGGACCCTGGCGAGGACACCTAGACGCCGTCCTGTATGACGGTGGTGGCCGATTGACGCCTCAGGCCGCAGCAGCCTTTGGTGCTCCGTGCCAGCACGGCCTCCATGACAGTGCAAGGGACAGATGGGCAGCACTCCGGAACGGGCTCCTTGAGGCCAGAGGACGCCCCTCAGGCTAACGACAAGGGGTGGGCGCTGGGGTCAGTGAGCAGCTCAGTGGTGACCGTCCCCTTTAGGCCGGGCGTGAGGTCAGAGTTCCTGCCAAGCGATTGGCCTTCCAGGCGTCAAAGGTGACAGGATCAGGACAGAGCAGAGGCCCAGCCACGGGGGCACCGAGCCGCTGCAGGTCAGGCGCTCTACCCACCACACCCGGCAGCCTTGTCACCCGGGGCTCCGTGACAACGGCTGACGAACCAGGAGGTCCTTACCGGTGGGACGGCCCAGCAGACAATGAGGGGACTGTTTGATTTTAACCAAAAATGCCGAGGCAGCGGGCCGGAACCCCGTTCTGTGGTCATGTCCCCAATCCTGGGGTTCCCCTTCCGGATGGATCTCAGCATCACTCTCAGCAGAAGCCCCCCACCGCCCCCACCCCCCGCCTGCCACTTGCCCCGGTGAGACTCACCGGAAGCAGTCCTGCGGCTCAGGTGGGCTGTGGGGGGTCACGTCACCCCGACAACGTACAGATCATGGCGGCGGCAGAACCCCGAGTCAGGGGTGACTTCAGCTCCGCTTCTCCGACTCTGTCCTCTCTGCTCATCCGCCTCATCCGCAGGCTGGCAGCCACACGTGTCCCCGGAGGCGCGAAACTGCCCCCCAAAGCGGGGCCCGGCCCGGGTCGCACAGGGGCGGCAGGAAGGGTTCTCAGCTTATCAACTCATGCCACCCGGGCTACTGACCCCGCTTCTCCAGGGGTCCCCACGCTGTCCCACGCCACCGCGCCTTCCCCGCCACCCCCACTGCTCACGTCCTCTCGGGAACAGGAACAGGCAGGTGTTTCGACTGCTGCCAGCGAAGGAGTGGGTGACACTATCCCCCGACAGTGAGCATTTCCTGGCCACCAACACGGCTGAGCTTTCTTGGTTCATTTGATTGGCTGTTCACGTTTCCTTCTGCAAAATGCCCCATCGTGCCTTTCTCATTTGTTTCTCGTGGGTCACCCGCGGGTGTTGCCACTTAAGCCTGTTTCAAACGTATTCAGTTTTAGAGATCAACACAATACGTACAACAGAGGCCACAAACCATCGGTGTGGAGCTAAGATGTGAGTGTGCCCACCATGTGGGCGGACAGAGGATGGGTGCCTCGGCCCAGAGGGTCCCCGCGCCCGTCCTCGGCCAGGGGCCCCCCACAGTTGACCTCGTCGCATATGATTTGTCACCAATGGGTGGAGCTGGAGGCTGTAATGTCAAGTGGACTAAGGCAGAGAGAGACGAATACCATGTGATCTCCCTCACGTGGAATTTAAGAAACAGAACAAAAGAGCAAAGGGAAAAGAGAGGCAGACCAAGAAACAGACTGAACTAAGAGGACACGCAGGTGGCGACCAGGGGGGAGGTGGGTGGGCGATGAGGGGACGGGTGTCGGGGATGAAGGCGGGCGCTTGTGACGGGCACCCGGTGGCGCAGGGAAGTGCTGGGTCGCTAGGTGGTACACCTGAAACCAATATTATTACAGTGCGTGCTAACTACACCGGGATTTAAATGAAAACTTAAAAAAGCAAAAACCAAAAAAAAAACCAAAACACAATTGATGGGAGACGTGTGCTGTTTCCAGCTCGGGGCTCCGACGATTAGAACCACGAGCTTCCGGGCACCCGTCTTTTTTGTGCGGTTCTCCTGGAAACGCCGGGGGGAGGGAGGAACCGCCAGGTCCCAGGGTGGGGGGCATAGAAGCTACTTCGAAGGGCTCCAGAGTGGCGTCTCCAGAGTG